GAGTTCGATAGGTACCTATTTGTCGCCTAATGAATAACAAGCAAAATACTTATTTTAATAAAAAACAAATTAATGAAAAAATATATTTTTCGTTTGACTGCAAATTGAATCACTTCTTGAGAACAATATTTTAGTTATTTCTCCGAATTTGGAATTTTCTTTGAAAAATTTGAATTGAAAACATACTTTTTTGATGAAACAAACATTTCTGTTTTGTTTGAATGGTTTCAAACTGCTGTTTTTCAACATTTAAGCGAATGTCATCTTTGATGAACATGGCACAAATAAATGTCGTATGTAATTCAATCTCTGTATGGGCAAGTAGTTGCTTTTTAGGGAATGTCCTCTTTGATGAACATTGCACAAATAAATGTCAGATGTAATTCAATATCTCTATGGGTAAGTAGTTGTTTTGTGAGCGTCTCCCTACACTTCGAAACAAAATTTTGAACCACCCCTGTATAACGTTAACCATTTTTCCCTTCTTCATATCGAGAACGCTTTGCTCGATGGTAACGCACTTTTGATACACCCTTGTATACTCCTTTTGTCAATGATTGTGTTAAATAACACACTGTTCGACGTTGGTTTACGAAATTGTGTTCCGGAGATTTTAGTCCCGAAGATTGCCTACATTAATCCAGGACAAATACTTGAGTACCCTGGTGGAGACTGACCCATCACAAACGATGCGTGGGATGGTTTAAAACGTATCGGAAAAGTCAGAAAGCTCAAAAAGTGGGTGCCCCACGATTTGAACGATCGATAAAAATCGTCACGTTTCGAAGTCTGTTCTTCTTTGCTTTTGCGCAACCGAAGCGATCCTTTTTTGGATCTTATTGTCACATATGATAAAAAGTGGATCTTCTACGATAATAGGAGACCTTCAGGACAATGGTTGGATTTCGATGAGCCACCCCGGCACTTCCCAAAGGCGAAAACCCACCAAAAAAGACCAAAGTTACTGTATCATGTTCGGCGGCTGGTGTGATTCACTATAACATTCTACATCCAGGCCGAACCATCACAGATACTCCTATTGCGAGAAAATCAACTAAATGTACAGCAGCAGCCAACACTGAGATATTACAGTTTAAAGTAAACTCATAAAAAAGGACAAAACTTTCGAAACAGCCTAATACTATCCAACATTCCTTGTTTGACAAAATTGAGTGATGAGTAATTTGGGTCCCAATTATGGTTAGTGGGGGTTTTATCAAGTTTTTGAGAATATTAGTGAACATTTGTGTTATACACAAAAAAGAATTTAATCCAATCATAATGATATAAATAATTCATTCTCTCCCTTTTCTTATAGGGGCTTTATATTGTCATATACCTCCAGCACATGAGAAAGGTATGATTATTGTGAAAGAAGAAACTGAAAATGACATAATGGAATCGATATCACTGCCGCCACAGGTATGTATTATGTTGAATATTTAGAAAACTTTTTTTCCTATGATTTTTTAGGTTATACAGAGTGATCATTTGCATCCTATTCAGTTAATAAGACTAACGCCAAATGATAATATGAACAATTGTAATATGAATAATATACATACATATTCCACTGGACCTGGTTTACTTCAATCTAATTCCACGAGCAGCGGTTTGCCAGTTATTGTCAATCCAACCCAGTTGGTTCCAGTTTTACCAGCTCAGTCTGTTGTGAAAAGGAACATCACTAATGCTGTAAATCAACAAAATCCAGCTCCTGTCATCGTTAAAACTGAACAAGGTTAGTATTTGATACAAATAGTTTTTTATTTTATATGGTTCGATTTTATAACTTATTTTACAGTTTTCTTGAGCTTTGTGTGTAAAATGTATGTGTACTTGTGTGAATGTACAGAGTGGGCCAAATTGGACACTTTTAAAGGAAAACTTCTGTTTTCAAACTAGATAGACGAAAACTGATGGCTGTGTCTGAGGGTCAAATTTTATGACAAACTTAATGATGAAAAGCTTATATCGATATCTATCATCGTTTCTGAGTTACAGCATGTTTTTCGAAAATATGCATTTTCGAAGAGTTGATTATTTGTCTGTGTTGTACCTGCTGGATACCTATTCCTCAAACTATCTGTTTGTCAATTAGTAATCTCTATTAATTAAGGTTGATGATTTGTATATCTTGCATTGTAAAGTAGTGTGGAGTACCAGTCCAGCTGATGATACTTCTTTGTAGTGAAACGCGTATTGGAAATGAAGTCTATATTGTGAACATTTGCAAAGTAATCGGTCAGTGTATTCAACATTGTATAAAATGTTTGACAACTCAAAATAATATAATTCCCGAGTTCTAAAATACTCACACGATTTAATTCACATTATACATTTTTAAAGATTTTTCTCTTTCATTTTGACATTGGGTACGACGAAATTGCAACCGAAATATCATGTGCAACTTTTCAATCGCCATTGTGTTGAGACAGGTATGAACATATGCATTCTATTTCACTGGTTAAAATTGATTCTGGTATGAACATATGCATTCTATTTCACTGGTTAAAATTGATTCTAAAGTAAGATCAAATGTGTTTTCAGGTGCTACAATTAAATAATCGCCTATGTGTTGGTTCTCATACAAGCGTTCTCTATGCGTGATTAAAAAGTTTCTCGACTCACAATTATTATTAATGAAATAACCTGAAAGCTCTGTAAATAGAATGCATATATTCATACCTGTCTCAACACAATGGCGATTGAAAGTTGTGCATGATATTCCAGTTCAATTTCGTCGTACCCTATGTCAAAATCAAAGAAAAAAATCTTAAAAAATGTTATAAATTGCTTTGTAAAGTAGTGTGGAGTACCAGTCCAAGGGGCCGTTCAAGTATTATGTAAGCACTATAGGAGAGTGAGAGTATTTGCTTTGCTTATTTTTGATGACATAGGGGTGGAGGGTCTAGATGGTGATTATGTCAGCTGTAGTTATTTACTTTTTCACATATTTGGCAACCCACACATTGTCTATGTATGAAAACTGAACACTTTTTTGGGGATTCCCACAGATAAGGTTTACCTTTACGTACTCGCTTGGATCCGAGTAGGGGAATTACCGCGCGCTATTCACGTGTCTAAATTTTTTGTCAGTCGTTTCGATACGATTGACGATTTGACGTATCCACTTTCATCAACGTTGAATTGTTTAAATACGATGTCGTTTCAAATAGACAAATCCAAGTTATACCAAAAATTGTTCAAACATAAAAAAAACTCTCGTACAAATACGAAAGTACAAAATGTACCTACAGAAGTTAGTTAATGAAGTGTGGCGTAATTATAAGTTACAAGCAAATTCCGACTGTACTGAAGTACTGAAAATATTATACTACACTAGAAATTAGGAAATCGACAAAAACTTTCTTTTTACATTTTGTAAATGAACAATGATTTAGACGTTTAATGATTATCATATATTATGACCAACATAAATTTTAGAGGTAATGTTCATTAGATAAATTTATTCCTTAAGATTGACTCTGAGAAATTGGTCACAAAAATACAGGGTGTCAATTTTCTGCATTTGACGGGTTCGATTCCCAACTGTGTCTTTTAAATAATTTTTGAATGCAGTTTTTTATGTGGCCTGAATATATTGAAAGAAAAATGTATATAACAATGGGGGTGGTAAATAATTGTAGTAAATATGCTTACGTAATACTTGAGCGGCTTCCAACTGAGGATGCTACAATGTAGTGGAACGCGTATTGGAAATAAAGTGTATATTTTGAAAATATGTAATTATTCTCGCGAATAGTTTTATAAAATTGTCCGTAATCAAGCCGTGTGCTAACTATCAATGCACCCAAAAAATTTTTTTCTGACTAAAAAAATTGCACAAACGCATGCATTCCCTTCGAAATCCATTTTGAAGCTGATGTTTGTTTAGCAATCATTTAGTTACCACTCTAGGCGCTTGGAACGAAAGGAGCAACTTTCAGCAGACTAGATTATACAATCACCAAAATTTTCATGTTATTGGACATTTTAATGTATAAAATGCAGTTCAAAAAATATGGTTACATGTTTACTATATACTGTTATTTAGACTGATATTGTTGTAGCATACCTCTTCTTTCTGGCATTCTGGACCGATATAGAAATCTATAGATCGTGCAGTGGTCTGAGTGATCTATAGATTTGTCATCTGTGTATATTTCAGTACACAAGATGAGTGGTACAAAAGTGTAAGTGTCAAAAAATGCCCCAGGGTCAAAACCGAAACATCATAGGAATCTGCACTTGCTATTACCAAATTGTGATACAGAAGGCGGGCTTTACAATCAATTTAGAGTTTCAACGTCGGCTAATCTTTCATCATTAGATTCAATTTTTTTAAAGGTTCAAGCGAAGCTAGTACCCAATCCACCCCAATTGAGTGAATATATTTTTTTCCATTCCGAGCTCGAATAATCTCAATCAATTGATATAAATTCACTACCCCTCATGATACAATATGAACTCAGAATTTTTGTGATCGTGCAGCAAAATAAAACGCATATATCAGACATAAAATTTTACTTGATAGGTATTATTGGAACCTCTGGCATACAGCGAATCTAATAAAAACACCACACCGGAACTAAAAAATATATCTGCAATCGCGTCACTTTTCAAGTTTGCAGGTCATTAGTCGATGACCAAAACTTAATTTAGTGTTAGTCTTGTGATGCACTGTTTGGNTCCGCTATACTTTTATTTCGGCTACATTGATAATTTTAAAATTACCAAAATTGTTATTGTCGAAATTCATTTTCGCTCCGTATCTTCGAAACAAAGCGCCCTATCAAAAATCATCAAAGGACAAAATATCCTTAGAATAGTCCAAGGACTAGTCCTTTAATTTTTTGCCGCATGTTTGATAAACACCTTGTATAAAACAAATTTACCTGCTACGGCTTGTAGCATCTTGCGAGAACGGACGAGAATTTTTTTTATTGATTTGTTGAAATTCCCAGCCAGAATTTACTACTTCACCCAACACAATCATTCATAACTAGTTCAAATTCTCCGCGATTTATCAAATTATTTGTATTGTTTGTGGAAGTGAGAGTTATCGAGATCATTACCATATGGAACAAAATTAATAGCATGTGTGTGTATTGTGATGTGTTTTAAGACACAAGTTATGTATATCAATATTGTTTGATTGGCTACAGTGACTGTCGAACCTACCTGTCATATTGTAAGTCTACAGAGACGAATAAAGGCAGTTGCTCATGGACATGCGACTAGAATGTATCAAGAGTTTCATTCAAAATATAACATGTATCTAGCAAATATGAGTTCTAAGATAAAAAAAATGACGGGAAGTATGATCTATGATTTTGTTGTTTTTCACGTATACAATACATATCAAACACACTATATATTGCACTAGTTGGAAAAAATAATATCTGAAGTGAATCAAAAATAGGGGGTTGCATAGAAAAAATGAAATTGATATGTCCATTCCAGAATATTAGGAAATGTATGAGAAAACATGTTTACCGTTACAATGAATTATTCAGAAGAATTTCAATAATAATAACGATTTATTTCCCCAAAAAAACGTACAATGTGGAAACATAAGTGGAACCAACTTGGCAAGTTGACTTGGGTGTCACACCAATAGGTGGTTTCGCTTGCGTTTACGCAGTTATTTTTATCGAGTACTCTCTTGGTTTTTCTCATTTTGTCTTCAATCGAGGACCGCCTGCCCGGTACTGACGATGCCCAATAGGAATTAAAGTGGTGTCATCAGCAAATATTTGTAATTTACCAAATAAATTCACGGTAGCCAAGTAATTGAAATATACAATAAACAAAACTGGTCCAAGTATTGATCCTTGCAGTACCCCACATATTATATATTTTTTTGGAACTATTTATGTCGTCAATATAGACATTGCTTACTATTCATTAAATAATTTTGAAACTACATCTCTGATACCTATATTATGCATTATTTTCAGAAGAATTTTATGATCCACAGTATCAAATGTTTTCTTTAGGTCCAATGAAGGAACTCCGCATTTTATCTAGCTGGATTTCGGTTATGGCATCTAATACTGCGGACTCTGTGTCACTATTTTTTCGAAATCCGTATTGCCCATCATATAATAATTATGTCTTTTCAAGATATTCAAATAATCCGAAATGTACTAGTTTGTCAATAATTCTTGATGAAAACGGTAAAACTAGAATTGGGTCTATAATTCGTCATTTGGTCTTTTTTACCTGCTTTAAATAATGGTTTTATTCGGACAATTTAAGTACCAAAACTGTTGAAAAAGAAACATTCATCAATGTACTTATCAGTGGTGCTAATTCTGATTCAACTTTTTGAACAATTTTTATAGCAATTCCATCGAATCCTGGAGCTTTTTTCGAATCAAACATACTAATTATTTCTTCTGGTTCGGTAGGCTTGTAAGATCTTCACTGAACCAGACTGTGAAATTCCGTGTATAATTATTACAAAGTATTCTATGAGTTATAATTATTGTTTGAATAGTTTGTATAAGCAAAAATATAGCTACTTTTTACTACAGCTGTCATTATTAATTAAATTTTTCCTCGCAGCCTCTCCAAATCATAAGGATCCAATAATTCAGCATAACCCAATTGAAATCCAGTCTCATCAACGTGTGTCATTAGCTCCTCAGATATCTACATCTTCACAAACGAATCATTTCCAAAGTAAACAAATCAACACACCACTAAAAGTGCAAACTTGCACATCGTCAACGCAGTCGGCATTTATAATACCTTGGCATTCGATAGTGCCATTACTAACTTCCAATTCAGGACCAATATCTCCACCGACATCGCAATTATCACCTCCGCTCTCCGCACCGCCTATAAGTATAATAACCGGACATTCGATAGACCTTCAAGAAGATGATGTAAATGTTGAAGCCATTCCTGGAACAATAGAAGAGGATGATGATGTGTTTGAATCAGAACCCACCGATATCACTATCGATAGTAGCAGTACTAGTAAAAAAAGAAGCCAGTCATTGAGTTCATTACCCAGCAACACTAAGGAATCGAGCAAGGTAAACAGCTTCATTATAAACTGTTTTCATTATAGCATGACAAGTTCAGTAGTTGTTATTACAACTTCAAATTTTAGGGGTGTGTTTCCATTAAAAATGGTTCACATTGTATAATAATTTTGTCTTTTCAAGATTCAACAATTTCTCAATGATTTTAGATAAAACTGGTAAACTTGAAATTGGTCTATAATTCGTCATGAAAGTAGTTGTTTCGATATGGCTTTTTCTTCCAGTTTGTGTCTGGATGTTATTTCTTTGTATGATCTACACATCTTTGTAAATGGTAATGTAAATGGTTTGATTCGTAAAATTATTTTCTTTCTTTGGAAGATGTAGAAGAAAAAAGCCAATACCGTTCTTTCATAAAAACTATTCTCTCCTTAAAATCCTTAAAATATCCCCTTTTCAATTTATAAAATAGAGAGGAAAGACATTCTAAGAATATAAAGTCAACCTACCTTCGGCTTTGAGTATCTTCAAATCATACTCAGGCTGCTTTCGTGGTAAAACGGGTAGCAGAGTTTGTAGAATATTCAGCAGAGGCCTTTCTCTGTAAGCTTCTGTTGTGTCGTATGGAGTGTGTCTATAATATAGAACAGAAAAATCACACAGTCTATGTATTTCTCTGAGAAAAAACTGGGAGTATCTTTGGAAAATGGGCGATAAAATTATGCTTTCTATGAGTCCATGAGAGCCAACTCGATGAATTTTATTATCGATGTAGTGTAAATCGTAGTGTGCCTGGAGATAGTTCACGTCAAATTCTTCGGTAATAGCTGAAAAAAAAAGTGGTATAACAATTATTGGAATATGTCTATGAAAAACTCGAGGGAAATATGGTCAGGTTATATCCACATGTTAGCAATTGACCCAGTATTTGAGCGAATATGTGAAATAAGACCGTCAAAGAGAGGTGTCGTTGGAGGTTAAAGGATAGCCTGCTCATTGAAAGATAAACAATGTATTACTTACTACGTAGTTCAGCCTGAATCGATTAATGCATCATGGATTTGCTGAAAACGGCATTTGTTCCTGAATAACGCCACCAAGAGAGATTAGGAGTCTATGAAAACCTAGTTCAAAGTCTAACACAAAGAGGGGCTCTAAAAAAGCTAGTAGAAGATATACAAAATTGATCTAAGTACAACATAAGAATCTGTTTCAGTCAGGAACACCATTCGTAGCAGCCTAACAAAAACTAATCCTTGGTTCAACAAAAATTGCGAGTCAGCTCCAAAATTCTCGCCTACTGGCAGTGGGGTAAAAATCCCAGTGCCAAAAACCGAGCTAGTTTTGCTTGTGCTCACAAACTTGAAATAAATGAAAGCAATGAACTTCACAATCAGAGAATTAGGGATAAACAGCTTGCCAATCTCAGCGGGTCTAGATCAGGGGTCTCCAAACTTTGAAGCCTTCGGACCATAATGATTTTTTTCAGTTTGTTCCAAGGGCCAATTTCTGTCCTTTACTGTATTTGTCGACTAGGATAGTCGCAAAGTGCGTGACCTAAGCAAACTTACGCTTTTTTGCATTTCAATTATTATTGTGTATTGTGACACTTAACGACATCTAGTGGCGAGTAGTGGTACTATGTACTATCTTTTTCAGCTACCCGCTAGGTGGCATTAGGCGTAATTAAATATTTGGAATTACCGCGTTGGTTCGAGAAAGT